GTGAAAGAGAATCATTGAATGGTTTGGGCTGGAAGGGATCTTAAAGCTCATCCGATTCCAACCCCTGGCATGGGTAGGGACACCTTCCACTAGAGCAGGTTGCTCCAAGCCCTGTCCAACCTGGCCTTGAACACTTGACTGAATATGTAAGGGAGACTCACCTTAGCAACAATCCAAACTCATGTTAGCATTCCTTTTCTTCTGGAGACAGAACTGAAAACAGCCTTGCGCGGGTTGGACTGTCTATTTGTCCTCTGGTTCCTTGGCTGGTTGTTTCACCTGCAAGAAAACACCTTTCATCCTCCCAGGCTGTGGCAGCTCAGCAGATGAGGCCTGTGATCCAGTCTTCTCTCATTGGCCATTAACACTACGTGTCACGTAAAGGTTTGTATTCTGGGTGAATCCTTACTAGTGTGATGTTTTTATCGTTGCTCACAGCAGGGGGATCAAACAGCAGAATGAGCTGCAGATAACTGAGGAGAAAAAGGGTCTGGGAGTTTATTACTTTGGTTTTTTTCATAGCAAGAACAAGAAAGAAAAGGCAACACCTCTTGGCAAACAGTTACATTAAATGCAGTTTGCAAGAACTGTGTATGAAAAGAAGTTGAAAGGCTTTTGATTATTCATGTAGAAAGGAGATGAAGAAGAGGTAACTTGGTGAAAGAGAATTAAAAAGATGTGGTTGAAGAAGATATCTTGGGAATGTCTGTTCTGCTGCTTCTAATGACATAACTTGGGACTATTCCTGTTAATAAAAGGTAGAAAATGAATATTAAAAATATTGTCATTTTTATTCTATGTAAGATTGACTGTGGAGCTCACTCCAGTAAAAACGTTTGACTTAACATTCAAATAAAAATCAGTCACTGGCACAGGCATAAAGAATAGCATTAACAGTAACAACTACATATAGAAAGCTAATAAACAATTGGGCTTAAGTTTCTCAGTAATTATTCAAAGCAGCAAGGTGGGGAGTAAACTGCTTATTAGAGAGTTCTTATATGTGACTCAGAAGCATGTCACATCAGGCAGCCCTCTGGACCACAGTGATGGTCCGAGGTCACCGTTTATATTACAGCCACTGCACAGACAGCATCACATCGATGGATTTCACATTAGCCTGCCTGGTAATTTTGCTTCCCAGTGACTATGACTTGATTCTGTTCAAGAGTTATTCTTTTGAAGTGGTTTTTTTCCTTTTCTCTAAAGAAATAAAATACTCTGAAGTTAATCGGGGACCTCATGTGCTTTTTTACATGTCACAAGGTCATGTATGTGGGGCTGATGACAGGGTTGCAAATGGAGACAAAGTGGTCAGAGGCTGCACTAATCCCTGGCATGAGGGATATGGAGGAACAGCAAATAAAGCAGGGCCTATGTTAAGTGGGTGGGCAAATGCTTTTGAAAAAAATCCTCTAAATAGGCTAATTCCTCTTTTCCCTTCATGGACGTGGCTAACATTGCTGTGTGTTCACCCTGGAGCTGCTCCTGGGCACTTTGCCTTCCTGGGAGGCACAGGACCAGACATCCTGTCCATGTACCTGTGAAAACATTCCTTGGGTTCAGATGAACAAACTGAAACACCCCACGCTGCCCTCAGCCTTTGTTACTGCTTGCTCACCCTAAGTCCTATGTGTAGCTGCTGCTAAAGGAAAGTTTGAGGAAGTCTGCCGGCCACGGGAAGACTTTCTTTATTTCCTTAAAAACTCATACCGGATATAAGTTTATATTTTGCTTATTTGCTTTCCTGCTAAATATTCCCACCATTCACATTCACTCACCGTAAGCCCAACGTTCCTTAGTTTGAGCTCAGAGGCCACAATGATGGGCACAAATAAAGATACCACATGAAATACCACAAAAAACTTTCAGCAGCAAGTAGCTTCCAGGAAGGTGGTTTGTGTTCATTGCTCCCATAGAATGGAATTCAGCAGTTCAGTGAAAACAAGCAAGCAGAGTCTCTGGACAGCACACGGCTTTAGAACAGCTTTGGGATAGGTGGCAAAAAGGGGAAACAAGGAAAAAAAAAAACAACAAGAAATGGGACTATTATTTATAAGCAGTTTGTTGATTCGGGATCACTGGTTGTACCAATTTGTGTATGCGTGATGTTTAACTTGTCCCACACAGCGACACAGCTACAGGTGCTATTTCCTTCCTCCTTTTATAGAAATCAGATGAACATCTCTTGATTTGTTCTCCTTTAGTAGAAAGGATGGGAGACAGGCACCCAAGAACCCCCTGCATTTGAGGTGCTGCAAGTTCCAAAGGGAACTCCCTCCGTGTTGGGGTCCAAGGTTTTGACCCGAGTCACAGGACTAGGTCTGTGATAACGCTGCATGGGACTGCAGAGCCTCCAGCTTTTCCTCTGCCCCCAGCCCAGAAGCAGCCTCGGGTATAGAGGTGGGAGAGGTGGCATTTGAAAGAGACGGGGGGGGGGGGGGGGGAAATAATTAATAATGATGTCCTGAAGTATTTCTTTTGCTTGAGTGCTCAGATAAGGCCCCTTCACACCTCAGGGCACATCCTTATTTGGAAATATTCAGAAATAATAATAGCAATAAGAATAAAACCATCCAGCTCTTCACATGTTTACTGAGGGCTGAAAAGCTGTAAAATAAGGATTTTGGCTTTAGTGTAGGCAATTTAGCTTGATGCTGGCTTAAACTGCCTTAGATGAGGAGTAAAGGGCTGACAATGACCACGGCTTCAGCCCCGGTACTGTGTGTCAGACCAGCAACCAGGGGAAAAGGGCCTCATGGTGCCTGCTCCACTGTTTCTGGTTGCAAAAATAGAAGAGCAGAGAAATCCTCTTTTCAGCTGAAGGCACCTGAGGCAGTTCCAGCAGGACACATTCGTGCTGGTGTTCCCCATGGCTCACGGTGCAGCAGCAGGTTTGGGCCACAAAGTGGTCCTATCTCAACAGGAGGGACAGGACAAGCTCAGAACACAGGACAGACACACACAGGGCAGGGGAGCCGGGGAAGCTCTGAGGGTTGGTGAGTGCCTCTATGGCAAAGGTAGCCCAGGCCAGGGCTCCTCTCTTTGTCCAGGGATGCGGGTGCTGCTGTGCAGCCCATGCAGGCAAGGCAGAAACCCAGAACTATCCCCCAGGGTGTCCCTGGCAGATCTGCTTTGCCACTCTCAGCTCTTTTCTTTTTACCACTGCTTCCCTTCCCCTTCCCTTGAAGTTTTTCAGTCTTGACCAAAGGTTCATTGTCACCTCTTCAAATGTCACCTTCCATCCCCTCCTTTGCCCTGCTCACCCTTCCCCAGATCATTTCTACACACTTGAAGAGCAAACAACAAATCACCATCGTCACCACATCTTTCCCTCTTAATCCAGGGCCGTGCATCCTCCGTGGCTAGGACAGGCTCATGGCAAAGCTCAGCAGAGGCCGCACTGGGATTCCAGGGAGATGCCTGGGGAGCCATGGATTGAGACCTCCCTGTGGCTCTGGAAGAATGGAGGCCTCAGAGGGGGGGCTTCCAAAAAACAGGGATACTGCCCCATACCGGCATCCCAGCAAAGGACTCTCAGGGCTGGGCTGCCAAATGGGACGGAAGCAGGAGCTGTTTAGGTATTAATATCCATATTTATGCACACAAGCATATATATATTTGTATATGTATTTATATATGCTTATATAGGGCTATATAGATAGGCACACATGTATGTGCATCCATAAGCCAGGCCCGGCACCCGCTGCAAGCAGGAGAAGGGGTGCAGAAGTGAGGGACCCGCACACCAGGATGGAGGTGACATTGGGATAGGCTGGGCACCCAGCTTGTCTCCCCATGCAGGACAGTGCCACCACGACCACAAGGACAGCCATGGGTAGGGGATTGGGCCCACGGGGTAAGGAGCGCTGCGAGAAATGGGCTGGAGCCGGGAAGGGGACTGGGAATGCCCCAAACTGCTCCAGAAGGAAAAGGGAAAAGATCCCGCTCCATGAAAGGGACCTTACAACCCCCTTTTTCAGAATTAGAAGTAAAATATAAAAATTAAATAAAAACTGTGAACTTACAGAGGGATTGGGTTTGGGGGGGTTTCAGCAGCGCGTACATTAGATTAAAGTAATGTGGGTGCTATGAATATAAGACGAAAATACACCTAATTCCATCATCATATAGATATAATATATTTCACTCTCACCACATAAATACAAAACATCCAAATATCCAAAACATTCAGAACAAAAGTTAGTAGCAAGGGCTCAGCGCTCGATTCATCCATTATTTGTTTCTTTTCCCGACTAGTTGCCTAGAAACTTCCGACGTAAATAATTTACAATAAAATTACTATTTTCTTTCTGTCCATCTCCTTCTGCCCGCTTCTAGAATTAATTCTCTATTCTACAGCAACCATTCCACTTGTTGTCAAATTTTTTTCTCTTTTTTCTTTTCTTTTCTCTTTTTTTCTTTTTTTTTTTTTTTTTTTGGTTACAGTTTGGTGGCACGGATTTATACAGTTTGTAAACGTTAAACGTGAAAGAAAGAAAAGAAACTTCAAACCAAAGTCAAGAATATTAATCGCTTGTTTCCAAAGAGCTCGCTAAAAGTACAGCATCCCTTTTCCGGCAAATCATTCAAGTACCGAGATTGAACAGGAAATATTCGATCCGGAATACTAGAGGGTGAATACATGTTTGTGGAGAAAATAGCAGTAGGAATTATGAAGGCAAAAAAAAAGGAGGAGCTTGTTACATAGATGTATTTTAAAGTACAAAAATAACATTAAAAGATACGCTTTTTATATTTGACGTTCGTTTTAAATGAAGTGTGAGCGATATACGCGAGGGCTGGTTTAGGAGGAAGGAAGGCTAAAGATTGGTTTTGTTTCATTTTGATGCGCGTTGAAATTTTTTGGGGAAAAAAATCGAATAGAAGAAAAAAATTAACAGAAAAAATACTATCGCAACAGATCTGGATGCAAATCGAGTCGCGATTTATCCATCCTTTATCTGCAGATTTGTTTTTGTAGATAAGGACCTCGGGGCTGGCCCGTGGGAATGCGAGGGGTGGAAATGGGGGGAAAAAGAAAGGAAAATACAAGGGAAAATAGGGGCTTTGTGTTATCTCGAAGGGGGAGACAGTTTGATCCAAAATCTCTGCAGCCACTGGTTTCTGTCTCCCCGCTCCGTGCGTGTTATTTGCAAGCAGCCCGCTCCGGCCCTTCCCACGTTCGGGATTCACGGTGGAAAAGGGAAGCTGCTGGCCGTTTTCCCGGCCGGTGTTCCGGGCGAGCGGCAAGGAGCTTTCCCGGGGTCTGCAGTGCAGTGGGTGTGCTGGAACTGGGGGCACGGGTGAAGCCCCCAACCCCTTGTGCTTCGGAGTCACTGAGGGGGGAAAAAAACCAAACCCGGGCATCACCTGGCAGCTCCATCTTCCTCTCTCCGAAATCCCTTTCCCTCGCTTGGCATCGGATACAGCGGGCCCGAAAGAGCCAAACCGCACCCCGTCCGCTCTCCCTCCTCTTCCCTTTCCTACCGGTGGCAAAGCAAACGAACAGACTCCCCCCTCCCTCTCCGAAAGGACACACGGACGCCGGGCCGGCTGGGCAGGGGAGCATCGGGGACTGCCCCGCTCCCGCAGCCCCCGGTCGCTGCCTCGCCTCGCCCCGCGGGCACCGGGACCCCGCTCCTCTCCGCACCGGCCCGCGGAGGCAACCGCGCCGCGGGGCTTGGAGGCGGCGAGGGAGGGAAGAAGGGATGGATGGAGGGGCCCGCCGCGCCGCCCGCCCCATAAATATCGCCACAAATAGAGACTATAAATATAAATACGGGGAAGTTACTTAGAGTCAGTCCAGTGCTTTTTTCTCAGCGCTTTCTTTATTGTTGGTCCGGGAGTAGGGCTCGAAGGCCGACGAGCTCAGGTAGCGGGCCGACAGTTCCTGCAAGTTGCCCGCCAGCGAACCGGCCACGGCCAAGGGCGCGGAGGAGAGCCTCCCGGCCACCGAGCCCAGCAGCGCGGGCACCGGCAGCCCGAACAGCCCGTGCCCAGCGGCGGCCGCCCCGTGCAGCGCTGCCGGCGGCGGGGGCCCGGCCGCGGTGCTGGCGGCCGGTGGATGAGGGGAGCCGCCGCCCCCGGGACCCGCAGCCGCCGCCGCGCTGCCGCTGCCCGCAGCCAGGCCGGGCCCGCGTAGCGCCGAGCCCAGCGCTCCGGTAGCGCAGGGAGGCAGGAGGCCCGGCAGCCCCGGCGGGGAGAGCAGCCGGCCTTGCTCCAGCAGCCGCAGGACGCTGCAGGTAGCGGCTGTCTCGGACACCACCGACCGCAGCTCGGAGTCCTTGCCCTGGTCCTTTTTCTGCTTGGTGCGCCGGTTCTGGAACCAGACCTTGACCTGCAGGCCGGGGAGAGAGCAGGGTCAGCGGGGCGGGCTGCGACCGGCGCCCCCCGACCGGTGCCCGGGCCCCGCGGGGCGGAGCGGGAGGGCTGCGGGGGAGGGGGGGGGGGCTCCAGCCCGCACCTGCTAACGGGAGCGCTTTAGGAAGGCACAGAACGACCCTTTCCCACCCCCCAAGCCCGGGGTTCCCCGTTTTGGGGTTCGCCCGGAGGGAACAGGGGACAAACACTCCTTATCGCACTGCATCTGTAGCCTGATCCGTCTCACTTTATCCGATTTCACCGTACTCCAGCCCTTTCCTCAACGGTTTATTCCGAGCCAGCTCAGCCCCAAGAACTCAGGACCCTCTCTGCGTTCCCACACTGCTGCCTGCCCAGGCCCAGCTGCCTTTCCTGGGTGGGACAACAACTCCATGTTCCCTTTCCAACCTCCTGGCCTGGATACTCTCTCCTCATCCATTTTAGACAATACTGAACTTCAAACTGAAATCCTGGAAACCACTCCCGGGAATAATAACAATAATGATAATAACATCCAAACCAAACCCCCAAACACCCGTGGCGGTTTCTGTAACCTACGAGCTATTGAACTTGTCATTCCTATCCGGCAAGGGAAAGAAAAAAGGTAATTATCTTGTCGGGGGGGTTATTATTGCACGATGTTTTGCAAAAATATGAAACTGCCTTTCAAAAGTTTGAGCTTTTTTAGACTTTCCCCCACACTCTCACAGTTCTAACCCTCCTCACGCCCCACGCACAGTTCTAACCCTCCTGACGCCCCACGGCCTCTCTGCTCTGCTGGACAGAGGGGCCGGAAATACAAGCACCCAAAATACGGCCCAAACTTCAGGCCCGTCCCCGCATCTCCCGTACCCAGGGCAGAGTGCTCGGATCAGCCTCCTCTAACCGGCAGCCCCCGGGACGGTGCCAGCTTCCCCCCGATATTCCGCTTGCTGCTGGCCGGGAGCGCCTTGGCCGCTCCTTGCCTCTCCGCTGCCGCAGCCGCGCAACTCCACCCCAGGGCAGCCCGCACCGGCACCTCGGAGCCGGGAGCACCGAGCCCCGACGGGGCCCGGGGGGGTCCCCGCGGTGGGAGCCGCGCTCCGGCCCGGGGAAGGGTCTGGCTTCATGGCCAAGCTCCCTCGGCCCCGCGCAGACCCAGGGGGGCCATGTGCTGGGACGCGCAGGGCGGCGGAACCCCCCTTTGGCCGCAGCCGTTCCCGAGCCGCACACAGCTACAGGTCCCTCAGCCACGCACCCCTAGCTTCATCCCTTCTCCAGACCCGACACGCGTGGGCCTCTACCCACCAGCTCCCTCGGCCTGCGCGGTGGCGCGCAAGAGGCGCGCAGACGACGCGCAGGGCAGTAGCTCCGGCCCACACGTGGGGCCTGGAGCAGGGGAGGTGGCCGGGCCCGGATGGGAGCTTCCACGGAGGGACACGGGACAGGGACAGGGCAGCCGGGGGTCCCCGTCCTTCTGGGACTACCTGAGTCTCGGAGAGATTGAGCTGGCGGGCGAGCTCGGTGCGCTCCCGCCCCACGACGTACTGGCAGCGCTGGAACTCCATCTCCAGGCGGTAGAGCTGCTCGGCCGTGAAGGAGGTGCGGGTCCGCTTGGGACGGTCCAGATCAAGCCCTTTGGGCAGAATAATCTCTCTGATTGAACCTTTGGCATCTGGCAAAGAAAGGCGCAGTCAGTTTTACACCCAGGCAACCTTCTTCTCTCATTTTCTCCCCCCATTTTATCATTCCTTTTAATATTTCCAAACGAAAGGGACGTCGCCAGCGCCTTCAAGCCCAAGCCCCGAGTCGGGATGGAGACTGCGGCACTGCACCTACCCACTGCACCCAAGGAAGAGGATAAAAATCCCCAAACACCCAACAGAGAAGGAAGGAGGGGGAGATGGGGGGCCAAAGCTCTGGAAATAATCCCATCAGCCCAGTTAAAAATCGTTTTGATTTTGAATATATCCCACTGACACTACAACACTGCCGCATCACCCACATTCTCTCCGGAGAGCTGGGGAAGGATCCTCCAGGCCGGGCTTTGTGCCTGGAGCTCAGGGTTACTCTTTGTTCCCCCTGAAGCTCCCAGGTTAGGGCTCGCTGGAAGCCACCCCCTACTCCCCCCAAAATAGAAAACCTCCCTATTATCCACGTATTGAATTTTGTTAGACTTTTCCATGGAAAATAAGGCAGGCAGGAGCTTTTTGGGCACAGGCAGCGCTGGCTGAGTGCCCACCCTGGATGTGGGGACACCCCAGCCCGCCCCGCATCCCGAGCAAGCAAGCTCCGGGATTTTGGCAAACAGGAGAAGAAGGAGGGGAGGAAAAAAGGGGGAAAAGCTAACCCAAGGCACCAAAGAGCCCGCAGAAACCTCACTCCTCTGGTAGCCCGGACCGAAAGAAAGCGGGACAAATCTTGTTAACACCACTGTCAAGCTAGGACCAGATTCATGTTACATTAAAGCCTTCCCAACTTTGCTTTCCGTAATTTTACCTCCTCGGTACGTTTTAAATCAGAGACAATCACATCATTTTAATCTGACCCCCTCTCTGGGTCAATCGGTCGCGCAAGGATTAATTATTGTTTACAAGGCCTTGCTTCGCACTAATTTCGGTTCGATTCTGTTCGCTCCCTCCTCCCCCAAAATTCTCCTTAATAAATCCGAAATTTCTGCAGGTAAATTTTAAATTATGATTATTATTTTTTTTTCGGAGGGGGGAGGAATAGGATGATTTAATTACTTCAGCCTGGAGAGAAGACGACCGTTGGGGGAAATTAAACGTATAACCATATAATAAAAGATAAGGGTTAAGAAGCCCTTCGTGGTGCCCCCATTCGTTTTAAGGGTGATGGCTATTCCAAACCAGCCCTTTCTGCAGGGGACCCTGCTGCCCGCTTCCACACCGGGCGGGAACCGCGGCCCCGCGCCATTGTGCGCGGCGGCCGAGATGCGCGGGCGCGGAAGGAGCGCGCCCGGCCTCGGGGCAGAGCCAGCGCCAGAGCCGTGGCCCCGGCGGGCTCCCCGTGGGGACGGGCACCCAGGGAGGGGTGCAACGCGGGCAATAAAACCCGTTAAAACCCGACGGGACCGGGCGGAGCGGGGGGGGAACCACCGCGGCCGAAGTTCTCCCGCAGCCACGGAGGCGATTCGCCGCAGCACACGGGGCTGGAGCGCGGTGCAGGGCCGCAGGAAGAGCTTCCAAGCCGGGGGGGGTACCCAAGGCAAAGCGACGAAATAAGCACATCTCACAGCTCACCCCCACCCGCCGCGAAATCCCTTAAACTCATACCTCTAACTAGGATCCTCCTGCAATAGTCCGGGTCAGCCGAACTAGATTTACTTTTATTACAACCTTCCGTAGCTGCAGAGGCAGAAAAAGTCCCTTGCTGATCCTTCAAAAAAGAAGTAGAAATATTTCCTTCAGCCCCTTTGCTTTCCTTGCCCTCTTTATGTCCGTTCTTCGAGACCCGGTTAGCTTCAGTCTCTGAACTGCATCTAACGTCCATTTTGTCTTGTTTCCCAAACATGTAGTGCAATAAAAACAAAACGGAAAAAAAACCACCACCAACAAAAAAAAAATAGAAGAGTAGAAGAAGAAGAAGGCGAAGTCTATGTTGGATATTGCACGGCTTAGGGTCAGATCGGTGGGGATCTGTAAAAGCACCTTGAGTAAGGAAGATCGGGTTTTATCCCACTGGAAAAGCAGCGGCTTCCTCAGTTCCAGCGTCCTAATGTGACTGTCCAGCTTCCCAGAGCGCCCAGTGATCAGGTACTCAACAGTACAACTCTAAAATGATTTAATGTCTGCCTTATTACAGAGACATGTAGTTGTTAGACACACAGAGGGACGCGCACTCGCTGTTTCAATTGATTACGGGTAATTTTGCAGCCTCCACATTTAGGTTACCTCATGAATACACTAAATTGTTTGGATAATATATCAGATCGTAATGGATGGTTTGTGTGCTTGTCCCCAATCAAGTAGAGTTTAGCCAGTGAATAAACTGAAATGATTGGTCTTGCTTTCAGGAAACACACAATCAAAAGACTGAGACTTCCAGAAAAAAAAAAACGGAGAAAAAAAAAAAAAAAAAGAAAAAGGAGGAAAAAAAGGGGGGGGGGGAGAGAGGAAAAAAAAAAAACTTTTGACAAGATTCACCCTGAATTGTTAGCACCATTAGCAGCCATTATTAACTTTCTTCAGTATGCCTTTGACCTCCCGATTATAGAGTGGCTTTCTCCAAAGCACGCCAAATACATCTGAATAAAGCTGCTGGGAAGTGCTGGAAAAATGCAGTTGCAGGGGGGTGGAAAAAGCAAAAACCCACCAGCAAAACCACAGCCAAAAAATAAGAGAAAAGAGCCCCCTGAATTCTAAACAAACAAACAGATCCCCAGCACGCACAGGCATCAAAAGTTGGTCCTTCCAGCAGATCTCTCCAATGAAGCAGGTTATCTTGGCCAGCAGAAATCCTCGTTAACACATCTCCCCACAGACAGCCATCTTAAACTCCTACCTCTCCTTACTTCAGTCCCGATACTCGCTTTTTGTGCTTCTCCCTGTGTGTGTGCGTGTGTATGTGTGCGTGCATGTGTGTGTGCTAATTCTGCACCTTCGCAAACACTGAACCTATTCGCAGAGCCTGCTCATTGGGGAAAAAAAAAAGAAGGAGGAAGAAAAAAAAAAGAGCCAGCATTGTGCTCAGTGGATCCAGGAGGGGGGAGAAAGGGAGAGGGGGAGAAAGAGGGAAAGAGGGAGGGAAGGAAAGGGAAGGAGGGAGGGAGAGAGAGAGAGATAGCCCGTGAAAAATCTCAACTGCGTTATCCACTAAAGGAGAAAAAAAAAAGTTTTACTCTAGCTATTTCATTGTCTCTGCTACAATATCTTTGAGAACCGCAACAGCCAGTAATCCAATAAGACCGTTGATTAGGCTACAATGATTCAATTCAAGCAAATGGCCTTGTGCAAAGAGCATGCTCCAGTCCTTCTTGTCACCTTGCAGGGCAGAAGCCCTCTTCATGCTGCTCTCCTTATTCATTCCTTTATGGGAAATGTAGAGCAAAAGGAGTGAAAGATGGCAATTATCTAATTGGACTATTAACAAACAATTCTCTGAGTGTGGCTGTCTGGCAGTGGTTCTTGGGCGAGGTGAAAGGCCACATGTTGCACTGGCCCCATTCACAAAGAGTTTAGGGGCCTGAGAGGGAGAGAAAGAATTTTCCCTGAGAATTTTTCACACAAACACCGGAGTATCCATCAGGAGCGCTCCTCTCCGCCCTGCCCTCCGCCTGCCTGGGAATGCTACCCACCTGGAGCAGGCTGGGGGAGCTCTGTGGTTTACTGCGGGGGAGAGCAGCGGGTAAAGGCAGAACAGGGCGCCCTTCCCTTGGCCAGAGATGCTCAGCCCCAAGGGCCTCATCCTGCTCCCGCTGGAGGAATAATAGCCCTCGTCCCACAGGACCCAGTCTTTGTGCATGGTGGTGTAATGAAGTGAAGGATCCAGTGCTAAGGTTTCATCATCATAAGTAGGATATTTAGGGGAGAAAAGGAAAGAAGGGGAGGAGAAGAGAAAGGAAGGGAGAATGAAAGAAGGAAAGGAAAGGAGAAGAAAAAAGAGAAAGGAATGGAAAATGAAAGAAGGAAAGGGAAAATAAATGAAAAAAGAAAAGAAAAAAGAATAAAGAAAAGAAAAGAAAAGAAAAGAAAAGAAAAGAAAAGAAAAGAAAAGAAAAGAAAAGAAAAGAAAAAAGAAAAGAAAAGAAAAGAAAAGAGAAAAAAGAAAGAGGAGAAAAGAAAAGAAAAGAAAAGAAAAGAAAAGAAAAGAAAAGAAAAGAAAAGAAAAGAAAAGAAAAGAAAAGAAAAGAAAAGAAAAGAAAAGAAAAGAGAAAAAAGAAAGAGGAGAAAAGAAAAAAGAGAAAAGAAAAGAAGAGGAAGTTCTTAGATGCATTTCAATGAGTTGCCTTTAGTGGACATCTTAAAACTTGGTAATTTTTCCACAAATCACAGCCTGATTTATTTTTATTACCACTGTCTGTAAAGTCAGATTGAGATCAAGGAGGTGCCTCTAAGATTTTCATCAAGCCCTATCATTTCAATAATATTCATACATAAACTGGAGGTAAAATGCCCTTATTATGGACCAGGCTTTATTTTCCCTTACAGCCAATGCATCTCAGCAATCTCTGGTGGTCTGTTGTTATTAGTTACTACTTGTATGGCAGTCATACCCAGGGGCCCCAAATAAAGCACAGCCCCATTGTGCAAGGCTTCATGCAGATACAGAGAGAGGATGGAAGGAGTTCATTTCCTCCATGGATTCACAATGCTGTGCAAAGGCCTGTTGTGTGAAGGGATGCTTGTGAAAATGTACATTTAAGAGAGATTTGGTCCTTTCAGGAGAGGTGCAACAAGTGGATGGTGATTAGTGGGAATGTTTTTCATGTAGCTGAAGCATAGGATTGTGTTTAGCAGGTAAGCTTTGTTGTGTGATATACATAAATATATACACGTATGTGGATGCATAGGCAAGGTAGTATCAACAGTCCTGGCTGGATGTTTGTGTAATGCTAAATGAAACAAAGTTCTTTTTCAAACATTTTTTACATAACAGATATGTGTTTTTTTTAGACAGAATAGGCATAACAATTCCCACAAGAGGTCTACTGTGAAATACAGAGAGCAATTATAATTGTATTTGCATAGGTGTGTGGGAGTATGTATGACACTGGCCCTCATGTTTTTCATTACGCTAATGTCTAGGCATAGGCCATAATAATAAACATGGAGCTATTGAACTCAATTACACTATTTGAAGCTGAGTATCTGGAGATTAAATATTGTATTTGGGCTATAATCGGGCTTTTTTAACATTTATTTTATTTTACTTACCACAAGGACCTGATCCAAAGCTCACTAAAGGCCAGAGGAATTTTGTTCTACATGTATAATATCTCAAATGCATTGCAACCCCCTTTTGTCTATAAAAGTCCATGCTATAAAAAGGCTTCCCCCTATTAAATCTGTTAAATTTGCTTTCACACATTACGAACACAGTACTGTTGAAGATCAGGAAATTCAAATAATGAGTCTAATCCTATAGTGAGCAGACAGGTCTATCCACACGCAGGTCTATGTCCACAGAGCTCAGTTACTTTGAGGTCCACTCATCTGCAACAAATAACAAAGTCCAGAACTGCACTGGGAAATTCAGCACTTTACCATTATGAAGTCAACATTACTCTAGCTCTTTCTTTTTCTCATCAGCCTAACCTTCTTTCAAGTATTCTCATTTATCTTTCTTTCTCAATAGACTTAAAATTAAGCATTCTGGAATATTATGCTCTTGCAGGACATATGTCCCCTTCTCACTGTAACAACTCCAGGTCTCTCCATAGACGCAGCACACTTACATCTACACTCATGTGCCACTGGATAAGCAGATGAAGGGTTACCTGTTTTCCCATAAAACAGTGCTTAAAAATAACTTAGCAGATAACAGAGGTGCTCCCTGGCTGTACTTTGCTATGTGGACTACCCTGTTGCTTTTCAAATACAGAGTGTGCAGCTTTATTAGTTCACATTGTCATGTAGAAGACTGAAGAAATAGTTTCTCATTGACTGTCACTATTTATATTATTTTTATCTCTATTCAGTGGGTAGGAAAGATACCCATTATTGCTACTACTTCCTAAACCCTTCTTTGTCAAAGAAAGATTTCTGTCCTAAATTCTCTTTAAGGCTTGCAATGCCAATCTGGTTATCACAGTCTAAACATGGTGCTGAATTGCTACTGAGATTCAGTGCTTGTGCTTATAGAACCATAGAATCATAGAAGTCTTGAAGTTTAAAGAACCATCAAAAGGATTCTGTGTTTAATATATTTAATTTACTATTTGATATGTATTCCTATCCAAATAATATTCCTTATGAGTACAAGCTTTCATCCACTTGAAGAGCTGGCTCCTGCCCTCCTTTGCTGTCTCTGGTTTGCAGAGTCATCCTAATAGACTTTGGCTGTGGTTACAGGCCTCAGCTGAAGAGGAAACAGAGCCAGCCCAGCACTCACAGACAGGTAGCTTAATGTAAATATCTAACAACCTGCTCTGTTCTCTGTGGCAGGCACTCATTGCCCCAGCTGGGGCAGATGCATGAAGAGATGGGAAAGCTCTCCCAGCACCCTCCCAGCCCTGAGATAAAAAGGCATGACTCAGAGATCTTTTCAATCAAAAGACTTATCTCTGTGTTTAATAGCCCTAAGTAGATTTTTGTTCCATTAATTTATCTAATTATTTTGATTCAGACTATTTGTTGTTGAATGTACAGATGCATTCAGCAAGCATACTTGTTTAGCAGAGGGTGTATAAGCTGGTACCTTGGGGCTGAGCATCTTCCTGGTTATTTCAAATTAACAGAGGATATGGTAGTTGCTCATAAGGATACGTTACATGCGGAAATGTCAAGGAGTTGTTACAAAGAGGTCCTACCATGCATCCTTGATCACTGTTTAAGGGAAACGAAGGAGAAACAGAAAACCTCATTACTATGTGCACAGATGTTCTGGGACAGGAAGTTTCTGTCCAGTGTGACACTCTGTGAGCAAAGATGATGCTCTCCACGACCTCACCAGAAGGTTCTTCTTTCATACGGGTATCAGTGCTGTGCTAACCACCAGGAGATCTGAGCACCTTCCTGAAACAATGTGTGCAGCATAATTAACAACCCTGTTGCTCTTGCAGATGTTCACTGCTAGGAAGGAAATTGCTATACAATTTAAGATGAACTCGGGAAATTTCAGCTTACACATACTACTGCATAATGAGGGGACATTTAAACAGCATATGTTAAGCACTTATTTGAAGATGGCAATTTGTTCTGATGGAAATAGGTTCTGTCTCCTGCAAGTAAGCTTAGAAAATAGTCCTCTTTCCATTCAGGTGAGCAGTATCCTTGAATAACAGGATCATGTCTGTACCTGGAAGCTTTACACTGTCTTTGAAGGAAAGGATTGAAGTCTATGACTCAGTTCAGCTTTCTGTGTGACGTGGAAGGGAAGGCTGTC